TCGGTTGCAGTATGAATAAAGTTACTTCGGATAAGCCTCTAGGGGCGGCTTTCTGAGTTCGGTTTAGGAACTAAGAAAGCTTGCTTGGCCCCAAAAGCTTAGTTCGGTTGAAAACCGAGGTTCCTAGTTTGGTATATTCAGACTTTGTTCGGTGATCTTATTTCGGCTAAAAGTAAAATCAGAAGGTTATTTTTTGAAGCTACTGATTGTCTCTACAAGTTCTAGTTCGGCTATTGACTGAAGTGATCTACCGATATTGGACAAACAGTATCCTAGTTCGGTTGCTATATGATTTTGGATCTAAGACTGGTTTTCTTCATAATAGTTCATACACACATGAAGTTCTACTGGTTTTTTCATGAAAGTACGAAAGCAAAGCAACAAATGGAGAAAAGTGTTTTCAAAAAGCATACAAAACAAAAACAAATGATAAAACAGGCAAAAAAGCAAGAAGGATAGACTTGCTTACCCGTATAAAAGATGAAGCAGAGGGCAGGAGCAACGGCACCAACGAAGAACATAGACTCAGGAGGCTCAGAGGCTGGAGAAGCAGAGGCACAGAGAGAGAAGAAGGTGAATAGTTCAAAGGCAGAATGATCGTTTTGTGGAATGAGAGAGAAAGGGCGGGAACTGTTCAAAAATTTCGTACTACGAGGGCGGCGTGACAGCTGCTCCCAGCCAATCAGAGCTTGCCACGTGTCACTCAATTATATTATATGAGATGATTAATGTAATATCTACTATTCATTAAGCAAAATTACTGTTACTTTTATTTAATATATTAGTCATTTTGGTTAATTATAATATGCCTTTGTTAATCTACTTTTGGTTGTCCAAAGTAATTCTTAGATAAATTAGCTATTATATATGTGATGATTTACTAATGTATGATAGTTTTTTAAAATTTTTAATAATGTAAAATATTAAATATTTTTAATGATGTGAAGTAAGATTTATATACACAAACCAAATAAAAATATTAAGAAATATAAACAAATAGTAAATTTTTTTTTTAGTAATTATTGACTTTCTAAAATCCTGTGAATCACACGGGTGACTACTAGTTCTTAAATATACAATGATGGTAGACTATAATAACATAAAATGAACGTTTGTTATGAAATTCTTACCATTGCTCTCACTTAAGAGGTGAAGGGTTTATCCTATTTTTCTCAATTTCTTAAATCGTTAGGAAATATTGAGATAAACAAAACAAAAAAAAATTAGGTGGGAATTTCAACGAACAACAATTTTTTTTGAATTTTGAGGGAACTAAGCCAAATTTAGTTAGACTTTTATGATTTGAGAGGGTAATTTTTGGTAAAAATTGGGCCGAGCTGTGAGATGGACTTGGTGGCCCAAAATGCCAAGGACTGGGTAAAAGGCCGAAATGTTACTGCGGCCCAAGAGAGATAAAAGTCACTCCGGCCCGAGCTGTTGAAGTGACTCTGGCTCAAGAACGATAGATTTACTCCGGCTCTGCGGAGATGATTGACTTACTTCGGTCAAAAGAGATGAAGTTACTTCGGCTAAAGGAATTGCAAAGCTGCTTCGGTTTTGACAACTTGAGTTAGTCCAGTCTCAAAAGGTAGTCCGGTCATGATTGAATTCGGGATAGGTCGGTTGTAATGTTGTTACTCAGTAGATCGGTCCAAACACACCACGGTTGTAATATCTACTATTCATTAAGCAAAATTACTGTTACTTTTATTTAATATATTAGTCATTTTGGTTAATTATAATATGCCTTTGTTAATCTACTTTTGGTTGTCCAAAGTAATTCTTAGATAAATTAGCTATTATATATGTGATGATTTACTAATGTATGATAGTTTTTTAAAATTTTTAATAATGTAAAATATTAAATATTTTTAATGATGTGAAGTAAGATTTATATACACAAACCAAATAAAAATATTAAGAAATATAAACAAATAGTAAATTTTTTTTTTAGTAATTATTGACTTTCTAAAATCCTGTGAATCACACGGGTGACTACTAGTTCTTAAATATACAATGATGGTAGACTATAATAACATAAAATGAACGTTTGTTATGAAATTCTTACCATTGCTCTCACTTAAGAGGTGAAGGGTTTATCCTATTTTTCTCAATTTCTTAAATGGTTAGAAAATATTGAGATAAACAAAAAAAAAAAAATTAGGTGGGAATTTCAACGAACAACAAATTTTTTTGAATTTTGAGGGAACTAAGCCAAATTTAGTTAGACTTTTATGAATAATGTAATAAATATATTATGAGTAGTCAAGATTATATAAGAATGTAAGTAAAATTTTATATCTTGAAGGTAGGTCTGCTAAGGAATACAATGCGTGGTATTTTGATTTAAAATACTAGAGGCCACATCATTTTTTATGAAAAAATTTAATCAAAAACTTTATTTTGGGTTTGTTGGGAATGTGGATTGATTTTTTTGCTTTTTAATTTTTTGACAATTTTAGGCCTTGTTTGACAAGTTACTATTTTAGTCAAAAAGTTATTAAAAAATCAAAAAAGTCAATAACTCATATAAAAAAGTCAAAAATTTTATTTTTTCTCTACTTTTTGCATATCTTTTCGTAAAAAGTCAAAAAATCATCTCAAATACTAGTTTTTTTTACATCACATTTTAGCCAAGAAGCCAAAAAGTTACGAAAAAAACATGTTTCCAAACGAGGCCTTAGGGTTGGTTTGGGATACTCTAAAAAAGTGTACTTTTTGACTTATTGGCTTATATGGGTTGGGTAGAGAGAAAAGAGAATCTTTGACTTTTTGGTATGGGTTGTTGGCTTTTTGGCTAATTTAGTAACTTTTTGGCTAATTGGCTAAAATAGCCTCTTGCCAAACGAGGCATTAGTGTACCCCAAACCAAGCCTTAGTCTTAGGCTAAAAAGTCTCGTTTTTGATAGATATTTTTTGACTTTTATAAGAGAATAAATGAAATGATTATGATTTGGATGTGACGTTTTATTTTATTGATTTTTTAACTTACTTTATCTTTTCGTAACTAAGGTCTCGTTTGGCAAGTGTTTGTTTTAACCTAAAAGTAAAAAAAAAAAAAAAACATTGTTTTAACCTAAAAGTCAAAAAAAAAAAAAAAAAAACAAAAAGTCTATAACCTATACCAAAAAGTCAAAAAAATAGATTTCTCTCTATTTTTTGTACATCTTTTTATAAAAAATCAAAAAATATTCTAAATATATTAATTTTTTTTACCTCATATTTTAACTAAAAAAGTAAAAAATTACTAAAATAATTTATTTATAAACGAGACCTAAAATAGTTAAAAATATCAAAAAGTTTGACATACCAAAGAAGGCTTTGATAGCACACACATCCCAAATACTACAAACATGGCCCATCAACACATGACACAAGTGCTCGCTATTTTTAGGAAAATATAAATTTTAAATAAATTATTAAATTTTTTATCAAATCTCTTATATGAGTGTGAGATCTGTATAAATCACATGTATGTAAATTTCATACTCATATAAAAAGTTTGATAAAAAATTTAATAATTTATTTGAGATATCTAACATAAACTCCTATTTTTATTAGGGACAATTACATCTCACTTGTAACAGTGAGGCCTCGTTTGGGAACCATCATTTTTAGTAAAAAAGTCAAAAAGTTACTAAATTAGCCAAAAAGTCAACAACCCATACTAAAAAGTTAAAAAGTCATCCCAAACATACTATTTTTTTAGCTCATATTTTAGTCAAATAGTCAAAAAGTTACTAAATTAGCCTGTTTCCAAACGAGACCTGAGTCTTATTTATTGGATTAATCCCATTTACAAGGCCCGACTGAGCAACGGCTTGAATGGCTCGAATGGTTTCCCGCGCGAGATTTGGATGCACGTGGAGGTCACGTGTTCTGCACAAAGTGATGAAGAAAAATGAAAGAAAAGAGCAGAAACAAGAGAGGAGAAAAGGAAGAGAAAGGGAGACGAGCACGACGGCGAGAGAAGGTTAAGACCATGACGACGACGCGCGAGAGAGACGACGACGACGACGACCGACCTGGTGTTCATTGACGGGCGTCGTTGACCACCGTCCACCGGTGTTTGGAATCTCCATTTTGTATTTGTAGGTAAGTTTTGAGATGTATGTGTTATCCCAGTTAGGCAACCCAAGAGGGGGGGTGTAAAAAGATAATATTATTTTATTTAAATAATATTTAACAAATATATATATTTTAAAAAGATAATAATTTGTGTCAAATAATATGTATATTAACTAATATATTTTAGACATCATCAAAATTAAATAATATGATTAACAGTATGTTAAAAAATTGATATCAAAATCTTGATAATTAATATACAGAGAATATTATCAATATACAAAGAAGATTAATATACAAAAAACTGATATCAGCCAAAAATTATCAATTGATAATACAAAAAATCTTCTGTGCATTTTTTGTATATTAATAAGGAGACAGAGTGGTGAATAATTTGTTATATATTAAGGGAGACAGAGTGGTGAATAATTTATCTGTGCATGTTTATTTTGCTAACATTGAGCTGTGGTCAACATTTCGTAAGACATCTCGTTATTGATCCCTGTATGTTAATGATTGAACATCTCGTAATTGATCTGTGTATGTTAAAAAACAATTTTTTGGTTGTTTTGGAAGCAAGCCCTCTGTTAAACATTTCCATGGTAGTGATGCATGCCAATTGTTTGATGAAAGTCCGCATAGAGAAATTGCCCTGATTGTTTATGTTTTGGTTGAGTTCACATGAAAAATCAGGACTTCTCTCACTGTGTAATCAACTTAACTCAACCATAGATTTTCAGTTTGTTTCTGAACTCCCCACCATAGTCAGAATTTTGCACCACCTTCTAATCTCATTGTGTTGAAGTAATGTCAATGTTGTTGAGTTAATATCGGTGTTGAATTTCATCTCAGTTTGAAAAATTGAAATGCACATATATGCACTTACACTTTAGTTTCTATTTGGTTTGAAGCTACACGAACTACACGCTTCAATGGACATTGATTCAACTAATCCTTCATTGAATGGGAGTGAGGAAGTTGAAGAGGCAGAAAACAATTCATCATTAAATAAGATTGGTGAAGTTCAAGAACCTGAGAAGGGCATGTGTTTTAACTCAAAGCAAGGAGTATATTCGTTTTATGCAAAATATGCAAAGCACCTCAGGTTTGTTGTAGCTTATAGAACACAGAATATTGGACAAGATGGGGAAGTAAATTAATTTGGAGTTGAATATACTCGGGCATGCAAGAGAACAAAACGAACAGAAGTACACCCTCTCGAACCAACTTTGTCATCATTCATTGAGTGTAAAGCAAAGGCTAGAGCAACTCTACAAAAGGATGGAAGATTTAAGTTGACCACAGTTGTCCTTCAACATACGCATGACTTGATTCCTAGTGACTCACGACATTTTGCAATGAATAAGAGAATTCTTACCCTTGCGAAGAGAAGACTAGAAATAAACGATGAACCAGGGATAGGGGTGGCTAGGAATTTTCATTCTATAGTTGTTGAAGTAGGGGGTTATGAGGCATTAACATTTGATGAACAAGATGCAAGGAATCATATTCAGAGTATGAGAAGATTAAGGCTTGGAGTAGGAGATGCTGAATCAGTTGCACTTTATTTTCATAGGATGCAACAACAAAATTCAAACTTTTATGCAATTGACCTCGATGAAGATGGTCGCATGCGAAATTTGTTTTGGGCGGATGCAAGGAGTAGGGCAACTTATAAAGCATTTGGGGATGTGGTTTCATTTGACACAACTTATCTGACAAATAAATATGATATGCCATTTGCTCCATTTGTAGGAGTTAATCATCATGGGCAGTCAATTTTGCTTGGTTGTGGGCTATTATCTAATGAGAACACTGAAACATTCCTGTGGCTATTCAGAGAATGGTTAAGTTGCATGTCTGACGTTCCTCCAAAAGCTATAATAATAGACCAGTGCAGAGCAATGCAAAATGCCATTGAAGTTCTCTTTCCAGAAGCTCGACATCGTTGGTGCTTATGGCATATCATGAAGAAAATTCCTGAGAAATTAAGAGGATATGCCCAATATGAATCCATTAAGCTTGCATTACAAAATGCAGTTTATGATTGTTTTACAAAACATGAATTTGATGAAGAATGGCAAGCGATGATTGGAAAGTTCAACCTAGATGATAATGACTGGTTGGGGGTATTATATAGTGAGTGACACAGGTGGATTCCTGTGTATGTGAAGGATGTTTTTTGGGCTGGCATGTCGACTACACAACGAAGTGAGAGCATGAACGCATTTTTTGATGGATATGTGAACTCAAAGACAACTTTAAAGCAATTTGTTGAACAATATGATCATGCCTTGAGAAGTAAGGTTGAGAAAGAGATGAAAGCAGACTTAAAATCTCGAAACAAATTGTATGATTGCTTAACGGTATATGAGTTTGAGAAGCAATTTCGTGTAACATACACGAATGCAAAGTTTAAAGAAGTGCAAGTAGAATTGAAACGACTATTGTATTGTCGTGCGAATCTTGTCAAAGAGGAGGGAGCAATGTGTACTTATCATGTGAAGGAGGCTGTGCTTGTGGGTGAGAAAATGAAGACAGTGGAATTTGTTGTGTACTTTAATGCAACTGAATGTGAATTGCATTGTATGTGTCGGTGGTTTGAGTTTAAGGGCATTATGTGTGTCCATTCATTTAATGTGCTCATTGAGAGGTGCATATATAATATTCTATATACTTATATTGTGCTGAGATAGACAAAAGATTTGGAAAGATAGTACACATACATTCCAACCACGTACACTAAAACTAGGGCTGTTCTCAATGCAAATGTGCATGATAAATACCACAAGATGTTGGATAAAATACTAAAAATTGCTTCCAACGATGATGGCAAACACACAGTGAATGATGGGTTGACAGAAATCAAGGAGAGGGTGAAAAAAGATCAATCGGGTTGTGCGAGTAGTGTGCCACTTTCAAGTAGTAATGCACCACCTTCTACTAGTCATGGACGACCTTCTAACACTTCCCTCAAAAGTCCATCTGGTTGCAGTACAACAAAAGAAATCAAAGCTCGCAAGGTGCTTAGTCCTCTAGTTGCTCGATGAAGAGGTCGTCCATGTACTAAGCGGAAGGTTAGCAAAGTGGATGAAATAGTCAATCGGTTGAAGGGAAATAATAAAAAGCCTACGAAAGTGCAAGTACATTTTTATAAGTTACATTTTTTTGTATGCGAATTGTTTAAATTTTTTTTTAAGTTAAATTATTGACCAGTGTGTCTTACTATAAGGCCATAAGGTCCCTCAAGGGCAGCCTCACAGGTTACATTTCCCATCTACAAATGCCATGCAATACAGTCTGTATGACCCGGTATGTGTTCGAGAAATAATGAAATTGTGTTACTATGATCATAAGGCGACGCAAACTGCACCTTACTATTTTCCTTGCATGGATGGCACGCAATAAAATATGTATGTACCGGTATGTGTTCAATGTCTAAAATAAAATATTTGTTCTTGTTTTAATTGATATATATGTTGAATGGACAATATTTGTAAAGTGTACTTGTTTATTGAATAGGCACAGTTTAGTCAAATGCAAACAGTGGACAATATTGGAGGCACATTTCATACTCAAAATTCGACAATCGCTTTAATGATAATTTTTTATCACTGCTTTTAATTGGGAGCTATATGCATTGACTTGGCCAAGTTGTATATAGGGGGCCAATTCCAAATATGAGATGTTTTGATTGTATCAGGTTGGGATGTAATGGAGATGTTAAAGTATTTAAATAAAGATGTCAATTTTTTCAGGAAGAGGAGATGCAGAATGCTGAATTTGATTGGTGGTGCATTACTTGAAGATGGGTGAATCTGATTGTTGGCGCAGAATGGTGAATCTGATTGTTGATGCAGATAAACCTATTGTAAATGCTGAATGAGAACTAAAAAAAACCTGTTGTAAAAAAATGCTGTTGTAAATCATCTATTTAGAGATGAAACCTTTCACTTTAATGGTAATATTTTATGTTCAATGAATCTGCTTCAATGCTCCAGGTTATGGTTCAGATTAAGTCTATGAATGTGACTGAATGAGCCAGATTTTGAATGGTGAAATGTATATATCTGTTATGGTGAATGTGACTGAATGAGCCAGATTTTATGGTAATATTCCATGTTTTTAATGTATGTCAATAGGTTGAATGCTCCAGGTTGAATGTTGAATCTGTATGTTAATGCTCCGGGTTATATTCTAGGTTTTTCATATTCCAGGTTATATTTTATGGTAATGCTCCAGGTTGAATCTAAACGTTGAATGCTGAAGTTGTATGCTCCAGATTGCTGAATCTGTATTTGAATGCATGAATGCTCCAGATTGCTTGAATGCTGAATCTGTCTGTGAATCTGCCTGAATTTTGAATCTGTCTGTGAATCTGCCTGAATTCAAACAGATCCAGATCCAAACAGATCCATTCAAACAGATCTGTTATGCTCCATGAATGCTCAATCTGTTATGCTCCATGAATGTTGAATGCTCCATGAATGCTCAATCTGTTATGCTCAATTTGTTATGCTCCTGATCCATTCAAACATTGATTCAAATAGATTCATCATAAAATGCTCCAGGGAATGGTTGTTCAATTTGTTAAAGATTTATTAATAAAATGGTCCAGGTTATGGTTGTTCAAACAGTAAATTCATCCATTCAATCTGTTATGGTTGTTCAATCCATAATAAAACAGATCCATTCAAACACTGCATTCAAATTTTGTAATACAATACGTCCATTACAAAATATGTCGATTACAAAATACGTCCATTACAAGATATGTCCATTACATAATAGAATACGTCATTCAAGTATGTCCATTACATCCATTCAAACACTTCCCAAAATATGTCTATTACATTCATTTACATGATAAAGTAAAAAAATACACAAAATACAATGACATAAGTTATTGCTTTCAAAATATTCTCCATCCTTTCGAGCCTTCTATCATGCTCACTTACAAGATATGTCCATTACATAATAGAATACGTCATTCAAGTATGTCCATTACATCCATTCAAACACTTCCCAAAATATGTCTATTACATTCATTTACATGATAAAGTAAAAAAATACACAAAATACAATGACATAAGTCATTGCTTTCAAAATCTTCTCCATCCTTTCGAGCCTTCTATCATGCTCACCAAGCCTTCTCCTTAACTCATTGATTTCTTCAGTTCTTATATCTGTGGAGGTAACATCATTGTCATCATCATCTGTGAAGCTGAAGAAATTGCAGTGTTCGTTCACAGCCTACAATGCACAAGAATCGGTTAATCAAATAAGACAAATGAAATTTGTAAAAAGTGAAACATTAATTTATAGAACAGATACTTACATATTTGTCTGGGCAAACAAAAAACACACGTCCTTCATTTCCGTTCTCATTGGTTCATACAATGTGAACGGATGCTGTTCTTCCACAATAACAGAATCTTGGCTTTAATCTTATTTTCACAGGATTAGTAGAAGATGACACCATTTTTTTTATCTGCATAAAAAATACCAATAGATTCAACTACATCAATCTTCATAACAAAGCAACTTTAAATTCTCATGAATGTTGAATGCTTAAATTCTGATGTGTATAAGCCCACAAAGGTCACGAATCACAATGAACAATCCAAGCCCATCGATTGGAGCCCAATGCATAACCCAACCGGTCAGGTTCAAGACAGCTGGAGTCCAACATGGCATAAAGAGCCAATGATATTCAGACACACGGCAGCTGAGGGACGAGTCACATCAGCAGACAAAGATCTGCAAAGTTATTGCCACTGCGCATCACCATTAATGCAGCCCATCACAGCATTTATTATGACAACACCTTTCCGTCGGAACAGTGCCCCCTTACCCTAAACAAGGTAAGCTACAGCATAGACTTTCGACGAGGAGAGAAGATCAGAAGGGACAGCGAAATGATTACCAAAAGATATAAGCAAACGTTGAAGGCAAGAAAAAGGTTAAGCTTTTCTATCTCTAATCTCTCCTCTATACTCTACTTCTCTTCCTAACTTGCTCGTTGGAGGGTTCGCTAGGGGACTACCCAGTTCCCCGTTGAACTTGTTTGCAGGATATCCGATGGGCTTGGACCAGTCGGATCCATTCATTGGAACAAATAGTATCATCAATTGGCACCGTCTGTGGAAAACTGGTTCTTATCCGGACGTCAGTTGTGCTCATTGTCGTCGGAGACCCTGTCCTAACAATCTTTCTCTCCTACCCATCCAAGTGTATGGTCACGACTAGATCCATGGCTTCTCACCATAATGCTGCCGACCATCAAACCGACCCTTCCAATCCAAATAACCCACCACAGTATATCATTGAGCTTACCAACAGCATAACCGCATGGCCGAACAAAACCAGGCCCTGATAAATTCTTTACTTCAAAGAAACCTTCTGATGCCTCCTCCACCACCTCTAGATATTCCACCCAACCAAGAAAGAGCCCCGAGCCATACTGTTCCGCAACCCTATCCACCCAACTTGAAAGGTTTGCAACCTCCTCCCCCACATATAAATCTACTACCTCCCCCCCTACACCCTTCGGTCGTGGCACCAGCCTCTGAAAGGGAAGCCAGCAGCGTCCAGCCCCCATTGACTAACCATGGCGACCACATTCCCCTCTAGGACGCTAAACTCCGAGCAATGAAGCTCCAGCTCCAAGGGGTCATGCAGAACATTTAGTATAAACCCTCTACCACGGCAAGCTCGCAATTTATTGCCTCCATTCGGGACAAACCTCTGCTCGCCAAGTTCAAAATGCCCACCATTGACTCTTTTGACGGTACGACGGACCCAGTCGACCATCTGGAGACCTACCGTACCCTCATGATCCTCCATGCCATGAGATCATGTGTCGGGCTTTCCCTGTGACACTGAAGGGGTCAGCTCGACTGTGGTTCAGCCAGTTACCAGCAGACTCTGTCTCCACTTTCCAGCATCTCAGCGACTCCTTCCTTAGCCATTTCATTGGAGCCCAACGCTAACGCCGCCCTGTAACCCAACTCCTCAATATCTGTCAGACCGAGGGGGAGTCGCTGCGCAGTTTCGTTACCTATTTCAACACTGAAGCCCTGCAGGTAGCGGAAAACGATGACGAGGTCATCCTCACGGCTTTCATGGCCGGGCTACGATCGTCCGATTTCTTCTTCTCCCTCTCCAAAAATCCCCCGACCTCCATGGCCGCCCTACTCTCCAAAGCCCAGAAATACATGAATGCCGAAGATTCACTAGCCGCTCGGCAGGATCCAATATCTAAAAACCCGACCCCCAGAGAAAAGAGAAAAGACTTAGAACCTAGAAAACACCCAGTGTAACAGCCAAACAACCTACTATACCGACCGACCTCCTCGTGCTGACCGGTCGGCACCAGCCCGACCGCCCGGTCGGTTCAAGCGGTACACGCCCCTTAATTCTCCCATGAAACAAGTCCTCCACCAGATCCAACGGGACTACCCCCTCAAATGGCCCCTACCCTCACGGACCCCTTCCAACCGGAAAGACCAGTCCAAATATTGTTGTTTCCACCAGGACCATGGCCACAACACTGATGACTGCATCAACCTTAAGGATCAGGTCGAAACCCTTATTCGTCAAGGGCGTCTCAGCCGGTTTACGGACACCCGTCCACAGCAGAGGTAAAGAATCGAGCCCCTCAGAAACAACCGCCGGCGTACCCCACCCCGGCAGCCAGCCTAACCTAACCAAGGCCATGATCACCCCCCACAACAGCCTCGACCACCAGGTAATCCCCCTCCGCCAGTTGGTGAAATCTGAGTCATTTCAGGTGGCCTTGCTTGTGGCGGACCATCCCGCTCCGTTCAGAGGGCAGAGCTCAGGAAGATAAGGCAAGGCTCGGACAGAGCAGTTGCCATGGTAGACCGACCCTCCAAAGGGCCCAAGTAGTGGACAGAGCCCATCACCTTCACGGACGCCGACTGTACAGGCATCCGTTATCCTCATGATGACCCTCTCGTTATTTCTGCCATCCTCTCCAACTATAAGGTCAGGCGGGTTCTCATTGACAACGACAATTCTTCAGACATCATATTCTTTAACTGCTTCGGCCAGCTCAAGATTAGGGAGGAAAGCCTGTATCCCCTTCAAACCCCTTTGGTCGGTTTCACTGACGACCGGTTGACCTCCATCGGCTCCATCGATCTCCCCCTCACCATCGGTGAATACCCACGACAGGCTACCAAGTTGGTCACTTTCCTTGTGGTCGACTGTCCCTCTGCCTACAACATCATCCTTGGCCACACCACCTTCAACCCTTTTTAAGCCATCACTTCAACCTACCACCTCGCCATAAAGTTCCCTACCGACCTAGGCGTCGGGACAGTAAGGGGAGAGCAGACTGTAGCCAGGGAATGTTATGTCACCTCACTCAAGGAAGTCAAGCTGAAGGAGGCCATGATCATTGAAGGACTTGACATCCGAGATGAGGACGAGCTAGTTAGAGGAGAACCGGTGGAGGAGCTCGTTGAGATTCTCATCGATCTCACCAACCCTATGAAGACTGCCAAGATCAGCAGCCAACTATCCCTCCAAGCTAAGGTTGACCTTACCGCCCTTCTGATCGAGCACAATAATGTATTTGCCTGGACCCATTCAGACATGCCGGGCATTGACCCCTCTTTCATAACTCATCGTCTTAGCATCGAACCCCATTTCCGACCTTACCGCCAGAAGCAACGCATCTTCCATCCAGAGCGCAATAAACTTATAGCCGCAGAGGTTGACAAGCTCCTTGAGGCCCAATTCATCAAAAACGTGGATTACCCTAAGTGGTTGTCAAACGTGGTCCTAGTCCGCAAGAACAATGGCAAATTGCGACTCTGTGTCGATTACTTTGACCTAAACCGCACTTGTCCCAAAGACAGCTATCCTCTTCCCCACGTAGATCTGCTGGTCGACGTCACGGCCGATCATCAAATACTCAGCTTCATGGATGCTTTCTCTGGATACAACCAAATCCTGATACACCCGTCCGATCGGGAACATACATCCTTCATTACCGACCGAGGTACCTACCACTACCACGTGATGTCATTCCGACTGAAGAATGCTGGGGCCACCTACCAGCGGCTGGTCAATGCTGTTTTCCATCATCAGATAGGTCGGAATATGGAAGTCTACGTCGACGACATGCTAGTCAAGAGCAAACTCTCTACTGATCATATGTCCGACCTGTGAGAGACTTTCGCCACCCTACGCAAGTACCAAATGAAGCTCAACCCAGAGAAGTGTACCTTTGGCGTAGGATCTGGGAAGTTTTTGGGTTTTATGGTCAGTCAGTGGGGCATTGAAGCTAACCCTGAAAAGATCAAGGCCTTGATTGAGATGCAATCA